GTCAATAAGGACCAAAATCTTGAAGGCTTTTTCATCACCGTCCTGAATCTGTGCTTAAAAGACTTAAAACATTTCTGAAAGCAAAAGGGGGCCCGACACAGTACTAGTAAGGTACATCTAATGAAGTGAGTGTGAATATTCAACCTCCTAAGCTCTGAACTCTTTTAAGGGTAATAATTTTTAATTTCTCTTTGCTATTTGGGCTGATTGGGGCCTGATAAGATCAAAAACAAAGAATTATCTTTTTACCTGATTTTGCTCTACAAGCGCCTGATAGCTGCATATGAGGATATTCGTTTTAAATGTCAATAGAACAGTGAATAGAATAGAATAGAATTAGAATTCAACTTTATTGTCATTGCACATGCACAGGTACAGGGCAACGAAATGCAGTTTGCCTCCATCCAGAAGTGCTTTAGTGATATAGATATATTACAATATATATTAGCAATAATATAGATATGTGAGTATATTACAGAAATGGGTCTATTATGGTATGTTATAATGTATGTTGTGAATATTCTATAACTATAAGTATGTACAGGCTGTAGTGAGTACAAGCTATGTACAGGCTATGAACAGGATATAAATATGAAAAACTATACAGAATATGAAATAAATAACTTTACAGAATCTGAGATATACAGCTATACAGAAATGGGAACTATGCAAGTTGTAAACAGTTGTAGGATTAAAGATTATCGAATGTACAGAATGATTATTTACACAGAGCTATACAGTAGTGCAGTTAAGATAAGTGAGGGTGTAGATCAGGGCTGCCCAATCCCAGTCCTCGAGAGCTACCGTCCTGCAGCTTTTAGATGCATCCCTACTCCAACACAGCTGAATCAAATGAATGGCTTGTTATCAGGCCTTTGCCAAACACGATGGCATGCTGAAGAGGTAATCAAACCATTTGATTCAGCTGTGTTGGAGTAGGGATGCATCTAAAAGCTGCAGGACGGTAGCTCTCGAGGACTGGGACTATCTACACCAGGGGTGTAGATAGTTTCTACAGAGGCTATATAAAGTGCTAGTGGTTGTGAGTGGTGGTTCAGTCCATGTTATTATTGTGTGTTTGAGGGTACAGTTGTCCATTGTGGGTGTCTGTATGTTCAGTCCATGTGTTAACGTGGGTCAGATGTCAGGAGGCAGAGTTCAGGAGTCTGACAGCTGTGGGGAAGAAGCTGTTCCGGTACCTGGTGGTCTTAGTCTGGAGGCTCCTGTGGCGCCTCCCAGAGGGCAGGAGGGTGAAGAGTCCATGTGATGGGTGACTGGGGTCTTTGATGATTTTCCCAGCCCTTTTCAGACACCACTTCCTGTAGATGTCTTTTATGGCAGTGGCAGCACAATGTCCTTGTAAGTGGATATCAGGCCCTTGTAGAGCAAAATTTTGTACTGTGGTCCAGCCAACCCAAAATGTGATGTCCACATATGTGGACACTGGGTCTTAGGAGGTTAAAATGGGATGAGCACTGAGAGCAGATGCTGCTTCCTGGTGGTGTTAAAGTAATGACCAAAAAACAGCAACACTTTCAGCTGTGAAAGTTGAATACAACTCCACAGCTTTAATTACCTTCATTTCCTGTACTGGTCTAGTTAGCTGCCCATTAAAAGCATAAAACACCTTCTCACCTTAAACACATTCAACTCTCCAGAATTACTCACCTCAGTTTCTACGTTCATAAAGTGTATTTTATAACTATCTTGATTTAAAAAAAAAACAACAACCCAAAAAACCAAAATGTAATCCTTTAAGCACTTCAGGCTTGTCAGGAAATTCCCAGCCGCTGTAAAAAGAGTCTTGTGCTAACAAGACTGCTTTACCTCGTACAGCAGTGATGGTTGTTGTACCTGACAGGAGTGTGTCACAGCTGTTATTACACCTGCTGTTAAACAGTAAACAAAGCCTCGCCTCAGTGCACCTGCGCTGCAATAGCTTTGGTGATTACCATATTGATGTTAACATCAGGCTTTCATTTGGCCATCTTGGGACGCTTCAAAGAGCTCATTTGACTCTTCATGTCAGAGCTTTGATCCTGAAAGGGTACACAGCAGAACAAAAACAATATAAACTCCGTCATTTCAATGCTTAACTACATATATACACTTCGAGTACCATAAACATGCAGCTTTATTATCAGAGCGAAGCTCGCTACAATAGGGCCTTGTATTCTTAATGCGGCCTGACGCCATGCAGGGGTTGCATTAGAGCACAAGAGGCTGTTAGAGCTCAGTTAAGGCAGGGCAGGTGCAAGATGACACCTCTGAGTCATGTGCAGACAAAGCAGGCACCAAGGAGACACCAGACAGCGTGATGACGATGCAGGAGGAGGAGGACTGGATGACGGTCAACACTGATTTTAGTCAAGATCAAACCCCAAATCAGAATCATTTCTATGAATCATTTAAGACACATTAAAAACAGCGTTTTACATACAGGTCCAGTGCTGAAAATTTATGTGGTTTCATGGGCCCTTAAAAAGCAAGCAGCTCAGTAATTGTGCTTGTGTACTAAAATACTGGCTGGCAAAGCTTCGTTAGTTAATTTTCTTAATTTAAAAGGCAGAAGATTATAGTTTTTTAAAAATTCATCTTTAGAACTTGAACGTTTATTGTAGTCAAGTACATTAAAGTAAATTACAAACTGGTTATAATGAAAGAAGTTATCACACAATGCAGTGGTGGCTCATTGTTATTGAGATAATACAAATACAGAAAGTCACAACTCTTAAGTGTTAAAGGCTTGAATACTTCTGCTTCGTGACATAAAGCAAATTAAATACAAGTACAAAACATAATGATAGATTATGCTTTCTAAATGTTGTGTAAAATTTCAAAATTACTTATAGGAATAGCAGAACAGAAGAAACAGCTTTGAACTCTGTGCTTACATCACAATAAATCACAAAACAAAAACCCATAAAAATGCGTGGGTATGTGGAGAGAGGTTTAATTTGGATCGAACTGACGTCAATTGGAAGTGCGTCACGCTTGAGGGTGTATGAATGAGGCTGCAGGGCTTAAAATATGATCTAACTAACTGAGACTGAGTGCAGCAGGTGTAGTAAGAGTGAGATTATTTTGTCTGGTACGTCAATATTACGCTCCACCAACCACTGACAACCTGGGACTGATGGAACAAGAGGTTTGGGCGTATGCACACTTGGTTCTCCACTTTAATTTTAATTATAAAAACAAAAATCTAGGTACAATTTTGCTTGCAAGTCATATGAAAATACAGAATTTTTTCTCATGGACCCATTTGTTTAATTCAGATAAACAGTCCTGGTGCATACCTCTGACAATACAGCAGAGAGCACTCTCAGAAACCAGACTGCATCCTGGAAAAGATCAGGCTGAGACAAATTCCTCTGGAAAACCTTTGCAACCTGCTTGCAGTGGGAGAAACCACCTTAAATCACACTGTGAGAAAGGTTATTCTCTATGGGGAATGAGTTCTAGGAGGACCTTTTAAAGATCATGGCTATGTTATGTTTAAGCACAAGGAAAATATTTAAACCCACTATCTTGTACTTCTGGTATTATTGCAGAGTAATTCTGAGAGATGTACAGACTTCTCTGTTATTCATTTAATTTTTTAGGTAAAACTTAAACTGATCTGGTTTTGATGCCCTTTTTCAGTTCTTAAAAATCACAATTTCTTCATTTATGTACAGTTTTAATGAGCTCATCTCAAATAATTTCACACCAAAAATAAGTTTGCAGAAACCTTGTCAGACAGCCCATAAAAACACATGGTTTCCACACATTATTAAAAGTAATTTAGAGTGTAAAAGATTTTAGATAAAAGTTGTTTTGTTTTTGGAAAAAAAAAAACAACAATCTGCTTTTACATAAATACAACCTTTAGAGACGCATTCCAGATTGTCAACTGATGATTTGTACGTTTAGTTTCATAGTAGTCTTGAGTGTGCAGAGAAATTTTCACAAACTCTTACAGCCGTTTAAAAATGGAAAGTATCAACAAATTTTAATATATGAAGGGGATGTGAGTCCTGTCCAACAATCAGCAAAAACTGTACAACAGCACCATCATCAGGAGGAAAATATAAATTACATCCACCAACAAAGACTGTAAAAGTCTGTTTATATAGTCAATCTTCTATATACATTATATATGAGCTAGCTTTCTGCAGGATGCTAGAGCCGTTTTAACAAAAAGACTAAATCTGAACTGTATCCGTGTTTTCAAATAAATCCTAAAAAGAGATATGGATTAAAAGCAAGGAAAACTAGAGATTATGGCCTGAAAAAAAAAGTCACATTTTATCTACATTGAGAGACCACAATGATTAAAAACTCCAAACCTTTATTTAACAATGCAATACTAATATGTCAGAATACAATGTGTGAATTGCTGCTGTTCAGTCAGTTAAGTCCCTTTGATGAAAAAAAGAAAAAGAACAGCCAGGTGATACATTTCAGTCACTTAACAATCAAGGTAAACAGAACTAGACAGCTTCCTGCTACACCGATATCATTTTTAACCACATCAAACACCCGACTGGTTAATACTTTGATGTCAGTGACTGTTGGGAGACAAAAGAATAAAGTGTTTACTGACAAACACCCAGTTTTAGAAAGGCAAGACCTGTCTCACAGATTGGGGACCAGACAAAGGAATGATCGGTGCCAAGCAGCAGGTGTTACTTTCGTCCCAACTGTGACATCTTTATGTATGACAAAAAACCCAAAAATACCTTGATTGTCACAGAGTATGGTCCGCTCTAAATTTGGTGGTCCAAGGTTTCTTGCAAGTGAGGTGAAGAAGATCCTTTTCAGGATTAAGGTTCATTGTGGTTTGCACCGGCACACCCAACAAAGGCTTCGTCTTCCACGCAACTGACTCCAACCTTCATTCAGACGAAAACCTGGGCTTTCCGTGTCCGAGGTCCCTATACATGTGAATTAAAGTGTTGGCAGTTCAATTAATGTAAAGTAAGTTAAAAATAATTGACTATCAAGAGGGCATTATACCTAGTCAAATTCAATTTTATTTCAGACTTCCCTTTATTCACAAAACATAGAAAATGCATTCGTAACCACTTCAAACACAAACTTTCAATGGGAACTTGTCAAACATTCACCACATCAACTTCTGAGCTCGCTTTCAAACTTCAGCACTCTTTCAGTGTCCCGCAACCCCACCCACCCACACAGACTTCACTAGCACAAGGTCACATTTTCACACAGAGAGGGTGGTAACAAGGAGAAAGTAAAGCACACAACCAGACACAGCATTCACGTCAAATCAGATAGCAAGAGAAGGCTACAAAAGGATACAAATACTCATAGCACTTGACATTTCACTGTGATTTTAAAGATTTAAGGTTGATAGAAAACAATGAGAGAAAGAGACCGTAGGGATCTCGAGATGCAATAAATGTCCTTGTGATGGGCATGGTGAACACACTCGTACTGGTTTCTTCCTCTCACACTCGCACAAAGCCACAGGTTCTTCTCAACTCTCGCAGGCATTTGTCTCTTTTGAATTAAAAAACAAAACAAACCAAAAGAAAAACAAACAACAAAAAAAAGAAAAAACTCCGCACCAACAGTCCTACTCACACCGCTTTCTTTCATTTCGCTCTCCCGTTCGCTCACTCTCACTCGGGCCAACACCAATCCCACTCACTGATCTCAAAAAGTGACAACAGCAGACAAAATTTCTATATCCCAAAAATTAAAAAAAAATTAAAAAAGGGGGAGAGGAAAAAAAGACAACACCCACCGTCTAATACAGTATATGCAGAGTGAAGCTGTGTTCTTGGATGACAAAGCATTTACACATGGGAGGAGGGGAAATGATACTGAGATCTGTCGAACATTGCTGCCAATGAGGCGCTTCCTCCCGGGAAATTGGGAAAGAGTTGGTGAACTGCAGAAGAGATTTCCATGAAGGCGTTTCCAAAAGATGTCAAACAAAAACAAAGATAAAATCAAATGCATACATACATATATATATACTTATATGTAATTATAGAAAGCCCATCATTTCACAAGAGGCAATCAGGGGGCTCTTGAGATACTCGTGCATGTTTATAAATTATTTTATCCTGCATGCACAGTAAATTTGTGTAACATATTCTCAAAAAACAAAACCAGGTAGTGTGGCAGCTTCCACTAACAAACTACACTTCTCACCCATTCAATGCATGACTACGTAAGTCACACACAAGTATAAATTTCCTCTTTAACAAAATAAAAGGCAGTGTATTTTTTCTTTTTTAAATAACATAATATCTAAGCCATTCCCCCTCATATGTATACTTACCAGGTCAGCCTTATAGCAACAGAAAGAGTTAGCTCGTAGCTATCTACATTCCCCAACTAGAAGATTTAGACTCCATAGATGCACCAAAGCCAGAGCTGAAGCCGCTGCTGGAGGCCGTGTTAGTGCCTGGAGCCCAACCAAGGCTAGCTGAGTTTGGGCTGCTGTAACTGGTGCTCGCAGAGCTATAGGTCTGGTCTCTGGTTGTAGTGGCTGTGCCTGCCGTTGTGGTCAGACCCTGCTGGTTAGCCAGCATGCCCATCATTCCCCAACTGCTCTGCAGCGCTGCCTGAGCAGCCGCGACCATGGCTGGGTTTAGACCCAGAGCCCCGAAGTTAACCCCTCCGCTACCGCTGCCTAGTCCACCGCGATTACTGCCATAGCCCTGATTGAACCCACCAGCCCCAAAACGCCCTCGATCCATCATTTGCCTACTATTATTGTGTTTGGGCTCAGCATTGGAGATGTGCACACTGACACCCTTGATGATCAGGTCCTCTCCGCACAGAGCTTGGGCAACCTGAGAAAGAAATGAGTTACTAAGTCTGTGTATCTCTTTTTTCTTACAGGTAAATAAATACTCCGTACACTATAAATACCAGGTATCATGAGGTATTTACAGTATAAATCTGTAATTGAGCTCTCATGTTTTCCACTACTACACCAAACTTATATGCATATAATTACTGATATTAAAGATTTGTTTTTGTTTTATCTAAACATACATATTAGGTCTTTCTCACTCTTCCTGTATAATACCATCTACTCATATTCAAAGGCCGTCATTTAAGGTCACTCTTACCTGGTCATCAGCAAATGTGACAAAAGCAAACGCCCGGAAAGGTTTGGGAATGAAGACGTCTGTGACTTCACCATACTGCATGAAGTACTGCCTCAGATCATCGGTTGTCATGTCCTCTGTGCAGCGACCAACAAAGATTTTACGGCTGCGCATCGGCTCATCGGGACATGCCTGAAAGGAAGAACGGGCACCACCATTTCATTTTAAGTCACGCTGCTCAACAATCCAGATTCAGTTTTACAAAAGCTAATCAACATTTGTAACCTGTGTTAAACGTTTTTTTAAAAATCCACTGCAATGACTTTAAAACGCCTGCTTGTAAGTGTGGAAACCCAATCCTTATCTGAAGTGAATGTATGTGAACGTGTGACACAGATCAACAAGCAGTAACAGGTGCCGTAAGCCTACATATAAACCTAAAAATGAATTTATACCAAACCTTATTCACTGAAGAAATCAATTTCTACCAAAGCACTTCTTTGAGACACGGTAAAAATCGTGCCCAACCCACCTTTGAATTGGGAAGTTTACAGTCACACCATCTCCCGTCAATCATGTGTCTCTGAGCGATGACTTTGGTTTGCGTCTCGTAGTCGGTGAACCGGACGAACCCAAAACCTTTTGAATTGCCAGTTTTTGCATCTCTCTTCACCTGAAAATGGGCGAGGTGAGCAAATTCATTAGTACACAAACAAAAGTCATACCCTTGTTGCGCTCAATGTCTAGAAAAGAACTGAGAAAACATTCACAGTCACATGACACATCAATACCTGCACCATGATGACCTCTCCAAAGGTACTGAAATAATCCTTGAGGTCTTGTTCTGTTGTTTTCCATGGCAACCCGAGGACAATAAGATCCGATGTCTTCTGAAAGCCCCTTTTAATTTTCACAACTGTGGCAGCGTCTATTTCTTCCATCTTTCTTTTGTTATCTATGAAGAATAAATAAATCATGCCAGTGAGAAAAAAAGCAATCAAAAACCCTTGTCTTATACATTTACAAAGCTCCCCTAAATTAAAAAAACCCAAAAACAAACAAAAAACTGAAATACAACTGTGTTTACTATTTCAATAACATGTTGCCATAACAGCATCAACTAATCTGTTATAATTTTCCACAGTTGTCACAACCTTGCTGCAGGATTTGATCACATTCAGTAAGCAAGCTATTAAATACAGAGCTTTAATCCAGTTCAGTCACCTGCCTCACAATGTTTTTTTGTTGGTGTCATTTGTGTTTTTTTTAGACCAATCTAATACAGTAATCTCTCTTTAAGGTATCTTTTGGAGGCTCCAATTTGTGATGCTGCTGAATTTTGTAATATAATACTACTGTACAGTCACAAACATTTTTATACGAGTTAAAATACAGCGCAGGTGTTGGGCAAAGCAGCTTCACTACAATATGAACAACACCTTTATGTTCAAATTTGGACCAATCCCGAGCATTAAAGCGTTAATTGTAATACGATGTATTGGTACTTTTAACTAGTTATAGTCAAATCAACTTAACAGGCAGTTTGTGGGCAGGGTTGTCAATTTGCTTACATGTTTATAATGACACAAACACCTGGCATACCTTTGGGGTAATTGACAATGTACACTAGGTTTCCCCAGTCGTTCTCCGGTGGGTGCAGGACACCCTCCACAAGCCGGACTCCCCTCATGCACTGGGTCTCTGGGTTTCTGTATCGCAGCCCGCAAGCCCCTGGAAACTGCGCTGCTACAGATGACAGCAAAACAGTGCCATCGTCCTCTGACGGGATCTCCATGGGTTCTTCATTTTCTTCCTCAGCCACCCGAATGTAAAGCTCTGACATGGTGTCCAGGATGGCTGAGCTCTGGTCCAAGCACGGTCAGCTGAGAGAGCTCAAGTTATCAGTAAACACCGGAGTGGTGCGAGCGGATCTACCCCTGGCTTTTAGTTTACTTCTGTTAACTGTGCGCGAAGCTAATGTAACACAAGCGCAGACACGCGAACTGCGTGAAACAGTCACTCTGCGACTCTTTCGCGTTTAACAGCTGGTGGCATGAAAGCCGGGACGCTTTCTTTGCCAGAAATGACACTCGTAAACAAGTTAGCCAGCTAGCCACTGAGCTAGCACACTCAAGTCAGCTCGAAAAATGAATGGCCGTCCAGTTTTACAACGCGCTGTCAACAAATACACGACTCCTCCTCGTGCTTACGAGCGCGTGGCCGAAAACTGTACGTCAATAACAACTTCGACGAGTTATCGACTTCGACGCAATTTCACCACCAAAGCGAGTATATCAATACAGCTGCACGCGGCTAACCTCTTTTAACCTCAAGCTAGCTAACAAAATGGCTGCTGATGCTCACCTTGTAAAGATGACATCATCGACTTGGGAGGGTGCACTCTTATTTGTGGGGCTGCCAAAAAATTAATTTGAAAACGTTTTCTGAATAGATTAATTTTTGACTATCAATTGCCAGTTACCGTTTGTGAATTTAAGTTAAACCTAATCTTCCTTATTATTTTACATTCATCAAGTGTCGTAACTTGTTTGTGCCAAGGATAATGCTCCCGAGTTACCCTTTGAAGTCTCACAGGAAGCTAGGAGCCCAAACAAAAGGTGTGTAATGTTTTGAAGAAATTAAAAAAAAAGAAAAGCCCGACCGATGTTTTGGTAAGCCAGTATTATTGCCCGATATTGGAGACAGAGACAGAGACTAAAACTTCCGGTCTTCGTGGTAATTTTTAAAGCACATCACTGACACAATAATAAACAATAGGAACCAAATCTAATCGTTTTCAATGTTAAGTAACTCTAACTGTATTTACAATTCGTTTTTTAGAATTTTTTTTTTATTTAACTCCCTAACAATCTGTACATAAAACCCTGTACCCTGACATAAATGAATGAACAAAATGTTTTCGAAATGCATACAAACAGAATTTACAGGATAGAGGGAAATAGCTGCAGAAAATTAATAAAATATGTGCAAACATCCATGCAAATACAGTTTGTAAGGCAAACACTGAGCATGCACAATTCTTATGAGCTTGAAAGTCAACATTTGGTATGACAACCTTTATTCTGCAACACAGAATAAGCCAAAAAAAAAAAAAAGACGTTTTTTTGGCTAACAGCAGTTTGAGAATCAACTTGTCAGGGTAAAATACCATTTCTACCTGCTAAATTCAACCAATAAAATGATCATGTGTTTTTGCAACAGGCTGCTAGTAACAAAGTGCCTAAAGACGCAATTTAATAGAAGGTAAAGTAAAGTGAGATTTTATTACAGGGGCAACAATCTCTGCATCGATGTCAAGAAAGCAATAAAGGTTAATAAAAGGAGGTCACTGGAAGTGAAAGGGGTAATTCATGATGGATGACAAACACAAAAGGACACAATCCTGTAAAGTTTATTTTCACACATGCTCAAAACAGCAATTGTTCTTTTATTTTTAAGCTTTTTTTCTCACTTGCCTTTTAACAAAGCAAAGTAAACACACCTGTGCTTTAACCTATCCAGGCCAGTGACACCACCTCTCACCTACAAATAAGACTATCCACAGACGTTTCCATCACTTCACCATGGATCACATCAGAGTAGGCATCCTTGCTATGTGAGTAACAGCGATATGTATAAATGTTATATCTACATCGTCTTTCAAATATAAGCTCCATTCGATGCTCTTTTCTACAGTTTTTTGCAGTGTTTTATCACAAAGAGCGCATTTTTCATTCAGAAACAAGAATGGATTCAAACTTCTGCAGCAAGATTAACAGGTGAACATTTATTCACTTATGAGCTAAAGCTGTTATGTTCCTAGTGTTTGTGAGAAATCTACCTGCTGCAATTTCAGAAGAAGATGTGGTTTGCTTTCCTGAATACATGGAGATGTGGATGCACAGTGCAAGAATTGAGGAGTTCAGGGTCTGGCTGTCGAGGGCGCTAAGTATCCAAGGTATATCTTTATGACAAGATAAATGACTTTAAAAAGCATTCATTTAATGTTGAACATGTCATTTCTGAACCACTGCTTGCTTTTCACAAGCCAACCTTGCATCTCTGGACCACCTGAATCTCCAGCTGTCTGCCTGTGGATTCTCACTGCAAAACGACCCCGACGATAACTACGTTTTTAGAGTCAGCTACACCGGGTGTTTTGTTCGGCAGCAGGTTTGGCATTCTTTTCTGAAATATGCAATCCATATCTACAACCTCAAATCTTTTAGCCTTGCACTTGGGCTTGGTGGTGATAATGATCTGTGTTTATATTGACTTTTCAGAATGGCTTTAATGTCTTAACATTAAATTTGGTGCGGAGGATGAATCGATTTGGAAGCCAGCATCACAGTTTCACAATGAAGTGCCCTGTGATGTCTGTGGTGCAAAGCAGAGAGCAAATCCGCTGTGACCCTGAATATGTTCAGGTAACAATGAACATTTTGCCACATTTCAACCTAACTGTATTTATATATTAGGATTGGTTTGCTTTGTTACTAGAAATAATTTGTGTGTGCCCTCAGGTGATCAGAGAAATTCCCTATGGAAACTGGGATAATGAGGTAGTAATTACATTCAGTGCCTGGAATTCTGATTACCTTCTAAATGATCACAATTTTGTCTGTAGATGTTTAATGTTTGGAAAGCAAGTCTAACTTTTTGTTTGTATTTATTGTCTGATTTTTGCTGCAGCTGCAGTGGTCGCTGTGTCTGGACGATCACCTCCTTGTAGCTCTGGAAGATGCCAGCTTGATTCAGATGAACATTGATGTGAATGTAACAGACATAAGAGTTCAGGGCAGGAGGAGGGAGATCTTAAGGCCTGTCAACGTGAGACTTCACACAGCATTATGCCACCTAGTGACTATTGTTAGTATTACAACTGAAATGTACTCAATTACTGTTTGGTTAATACAGATAATGGAAAATGAAGGGGAATTTTTGGATTTGAAGCTGGTCAGAGACAGATATGCCTACAGTATGGAAGCAACTTGTCCAAAAGGTGGGTAACAAGGACAGAATTGGAGCTGGAAGTTATTTTTCCTTTAAAAAAAAAAAAATTAACCAACAACAATAGTGAGTGTTTGAGTTTAATTAGAGCAGGGGTGTCAAACACAAGGCCTGGGGGCCAGAAGCAGCCTGGCACAGACTCCAGTCGGGCCCACTGGGTGGCTTTGGAAAACGTAAAAGAGGGCATAAATGTTGGACTTTTAACAGTATTTTCATCTGTGTTACAGCTTTTACAGTTCAACAGCTACAATTTTTCACTATCTATTATAGAAATATAGTATGTTTTTTTTGCAGTTTAAGAAGAAGGTTAATATTCTGTAAAATAACAAAAACCTGTCACTGTGCTGACCTTTACATCAGTAAAAATCACTTGGGCTATTTTTTGTTTAATGTTGATAAAAACATGTGGGGTGGGGACATTTGCTCTTTTTCTCTCTTCTAAAGAGAACGGATCAGTTATAAAAATGTTAAAAATACTTAAATGTAAAAGTCCTGAATCCAAAGCCAAAATATTCTTAACTCCAAAGTATTCACAGTAGTTGTGTATGTGGTCATAGTTTGAACTAAAGCTACAAAGTTTCAGCTTGGTTCGGTGGATTCAAGGTCAGATCCAAAGGGTCAAATGTTCAACATTAACTGAACAAAGTAACATGATTTTAAACACGAGGATTGTTGCAGTCAATGACTGGGTAAAATCTAGAGCCCATGGAGCTCTCTAAGTGCTGTGTTTCCTCCAGTGAGATGCTAGGCCAGGTCTTCAGTTGCTGCTTGTTTGTGGGTCTTTCTGCCTTCAGTTTTGTATTTCTTAACTAAAAAACATGCTGCGTTGGGTTGAGATCAGGTGACTGACTTGACCATTGAAGAATATCAGATTTCTTTCCATTGAGAAACTCTTGGGTTACTTTGCATCATTATCAATCCACAGTTCATCCTCATACTTCTATCAGGAGTCACATCATCAGAAAATACTCGTGATTCAGTGTCCGTGGCAGTCATACACATCCATACCAAAACACTGCCTCGACCTGTTACCTCTGATTCTGCATAATGTTCCTATTCTCATCATTCTGGTACAGGTTTACCAGAATGATGAGAATAGGAACAGTATGAGAAGTTTACCAAATCTTGATTTTACCAGAACCATGCAGGCTTTTTTAGATGTTTTCTGACAAAGTCTAATCCAGACTTCTTCTTGAGGTTAACCAGTGGTTAGCACCTGGTTGTAAATCCTCTGTATTTACATTAATGACGGTTCCTCTTGATTGTGGACTTTAACAATGACAAGCTTACCTCTTTGAGACTCATTCCTGAGTTCATTAGATGTAATGAAGCTGCTTTTCTTTGAACAATGTAAATGTAATGCACTTCTGTGGTCAACCACTTTAGTTGTCAGGCTCTTTGAACAATAAGGAAATAGGCCACGAAACGCTTTACCGGTCCACTGTCCGATAACTTTTGAGCATCTGAAAGTAGGAGACTGTATATAACAATGGCTGATTTCCAAAACATATTGTGCAATATTTTTGTTAAACCATTTGAAAGTTTGCACTTTACCCACATGGTGATTGTTTGGTTTATAATCCACTGTGATGGTGCAGAGAAGCAAAATTTAAAAAACACTTATGATTGTCCAAAAATGTATCAACCTCATTGTATATCTCATTATATATATATATATATATATATATATATATATATATATATATGTAATCAAATAGAAATTGGCAACAAGTGAAAATACTTATAAACAGATACATCAAATATAATTACTTGTTACTAACTAACCACATTAACACATCTTATTTTATTTCAGTGAACGCATCCACGGCAGACAAGACTGTGCTGCACATCCTCAAACGCCGAATGGGTTTGACCAGAAGAGGCACCTATCACAATGAAACACTGACACTCAGTGACCTGTCAGTTAACCAGACAGTTACTTTCACAGTGCATGAGACGAGTGAATCTGTAACTCTGTCCATTCCCACAGCCAGAATACTCCAGACAAAGGTTAGTGCTGACACACAAACCTGTATGACTCCAAATAGTAGTGCATGGCTGTCAAAGCATACACTAACATGAGTAAACTGTGCGGCTTTGAGGATTCATTAAAGAGTAACACATCTAACCCAGGTTTATTTTACAGCCCTGCACAGATGACAACCGGCTCCTGCAGCCGTTCTACAGGGTGGATGCTGTGCTCACCTTCAGAGAGACAAATCACAAAATGCACTGGACCATGGAGAGCACGCTGCCATGCATAGGTGAGTTTTCTGCTGATGAGCACAGTAAAAACTAAAGAGGTGATCAATTATTGGATGTTTTCT